TTTTGCCGTATAAAGTAATATTCACAAGTTTCATTGATTAGGACGTGGAAATAGCCTTTGGGGGCCACCAGTTAACCCAGTTACAAGTCAGTAAACACATAAATAAATTCAGGCCATTATAAGAGTTAAGAAGAGAACAAAGCAGGGAGAAGGGATAAGAGAGTGAGTGGGGATGGTATTTTCAATTAGAAGATTAGAGGGACCTCTTTCATGAGATGGCATTGGAGTCAATTTACCTTAAAGTAGATGAGAGGAAAGTCCTTTGAGAAGAATGAAAAGCAACGGCAAGGCCCTGAGACTAGTTGTGTTTGAAGAGATGAGAGTGGCAAAAAGATCGGGGTTGTTAGAACAGGAGTGTGATAAGAGATGGATCAGAGGCAGAACTGAGATTTTATTATGAGTAAAACAGGCAGTCATTGGTGGGTTTAGAGCAGAGGACTAATGGGTCTGACACAGCACTGTGGCTGATGTGTAAAGAACAGATAATGGGGAGAGGGCCATGAAGCAGTCGGACCAGTTAGGAAGATACTGCAACATTCCAGGCAGGAGAGAATAGTGGCTGTGGAAGTGTTGCGAACTGATCCGATCTGAGATGTATTTTGAAGTTGGAGCCAATAGGATTTGCTGACTGAGTGGCTGGAGGTGAGAGTAACAGAGGAGTCAAGGATGGCTTCAGCGTTTTTCTTCTTGCCTGTGTGACTGCCAGGATGAGAGCCTCTGCCAAATGAGATTTAGAGGATGGGGGAGAAGCAGGTTTGGGGATCAAGAATTCTATCTTGGCATTTGAAATGCCTTACAGACATTCAAATAAAGACATTTTTCAGTCAGTTGCTACAGGAGTCTGGAGTTCAGGGTGAAAGACATATATCTGATGCCATTGGTGAATAGCTCGTATTTAAAATCACCATGAAGTAAGTGCAGATAGAGAAGAGGACCAAGACTGAACTCTGAAGCACTCCAAAATTAAGAAGTCAGGGAGATGGAGAAGAACCAGGAAAAAGTTCTGTGAAATAAGCTAGTGAAAAAGTAAAACCATGGAAGTCTGTTGAGCGGGAAACCAAATTAAGAAAGTGATGCAAGGAGAGAGTCATCAATTGTATCAAAAGCTTCTGGTAGCTAGATCAAATAAGATGAGCACCGAGAAATTTACCATTGAATTTATCCAAGAGGCAGTCGTTAGGGATCTTGACAAGAGCAGTTTTAGCAGAGTTGTGGGCACAAAATCCACTTGGAGTGAGTTCAAAATGGAATCAGAGACGAGGGATTGTAGATGATTAATTTAGACAATTACAATGAGTTTTGCTCTTAAGGAGAGGAGAAAAATAGAGTCATTGCTGGAGAAATTGTTTTTGTTTTTAAAGATTGGAGATACTATAACATAATATCATGCGGATGGAAATGCTCCCATTAAAAAGAAAAAATTGCTGGGACATCATGCCGTACACCAGAAATGGACACATTGTAACTGACTGTACTCAATTAAAAATTATTTTTTAAAAAGGAAGCAAAAATTGATAATGCAGACAAAGGAATGAGTGCAAGAGGATGGTCCTCAAGCAAGCGAGAGAAGACAGGGTCCAGTGCCCGAGTGGTCGATCAGCTTCGGTTAGGAGCAGGGCGGGTCCTCCTTACTTATAGCTATGCTATAAGTTAAATGTGTGTGATAAATGCCTGTGCAGTAGGAAAATGTGTTTTATTGAGGCCAGAGGATGAAGAGCCCATGTCCTACTGGGATGATCTGGAAAGGTCCATGAAAGAAGTGGTGAATAAATCAGGCCTTGAAGGATGAATGGAATTTTCATTGGTCTATGGCAAGCACATTGCAAAGTGAGGAAACAGTACAAATATAAACAGAAAAGCAAAAATATCCAATATTTCTTGAGGTAGGAGTTTTAAAAAACCTTTAATATTAATATTTATTGGAAGACCTATTGATTGCAATGGGGAAGGCAGCTATAGTAATGATAAGTCATTAGAGTGGAATCCTAGAATAATTTCCCTGGGGAAAGACTACACCATAAAGTACAGTAATACCCCCAGAATACAATATTTCCTAGAACTGTGAGAACAAAGTGCCAAAGATTGTTCCTAAGAAATGAATGCCTTTCCTTTCTGGCTCATCCATCCTCCTTATACACACATGCACCTACATAAACAACACACTTTCCATCTTTCATTTAAAATTCAGTCTCATAGAAAGAAGAACAGAGCTGGAGGAATCATATTGCCTGACATTAGACTATACTACAAAGCTACAGTAACTGGCAAAAAAACAGACACAGGGATCAATGGAACAGGATAAAAAGCCCAGAAAGAAACCCACACACTTATAGTCAATCTACAACAAAACAGGCTAGAACATACAATGGAGAAAAGACAGTCTCTTCAATAAGTAGTGATGGGAAAATTGGACAGCTACATGTAAAAGAATGAAATTAGAACATTCTCTAACACCATATACAAACATAAACTCAAAATGGATTAAAGAACTAAATGTAAGACCAGATGCTCCAAAACTCCTAGAGGAAAACATAGGGGGATCACTCTTTGATATAAATTGCAGCAATATTTTTTCTCCAAAGCAGCTCCTAGAAGTAATGAAATAAAAGCAAAAATAACAAATAGAATCCAATTAAACTTAAAAGCTTTTACACAGCAAAGGAAACCATAAACAAAATGAAAAGACAGCCTATGGAATGGGAGAAAATATTTGCAAATGCTGCAACTGACAAGGGATTAATTTCCAAAATATACAAACAGCTCATACAGCTCAATATCAAAAACAAACAAATAAACAAACAACCCAATCAAAAAATGGGAAAAATACCTAAATAGCTATTTCTCCAAAGAAGACATACAGATGGCCAACAGGCACATGAAAAGATGCTCAATGTCACTAATTATTAGAGAAATGCAAATCAAACCCACAATGAGGTATCACCTCACACCAGTCAGAATGGCCATCATCAAAAAGTCTATAAATAATAAATACAGGGGAGGTTGTGGGAAAAAAGGAACCTTTCTGCACTCTTGGTAGACATGTAAATTCATGCAGCCACTGTGGAGGACAGTACTGAGGTTCCTTAAAAAACTAAAAATAGACTTACCATATGATCGAGCAATCCCACTCCTGGGCATATATCTGGAGAAAACTCTAATTTGAAAACACATGCACCCCAGTGTTCATAGCAGCACTATTTACAGTAGCCAAGATGGAGAAGCAACCTAAATGTCCATTGATAGATGACTGAATAAAGAAGATGTGGTGTATACATATACAATGGAATATTACTCAGCCACGAAAAGGGATGAAATAATGCCATTTGCAGCAACATGGATAGACCTAGAGATTATCATACTAAGTGAAGTCAGACAAAGGTAAATATCATATGATATCACTTATATGTGGAATCTCAAAAAAATGATAGAAATGAACTTATTTACAAACCAGAAATAGACTCATAGTCATAGAAAACAAACTTATTTACCAAAGGGGAAAGGAAGGGGGATAAATTTGGAATTTGGGATTAACATATATACACTACTATATATAAAGTAGATAACAGCAAAGACCTACTGTATAGCACAGGGAACTATATTCAGTATCTTGTAATAACCTATAGTGGAAAAGAATCTGAAAAAGAATATGTGTGTGTGTGTGTGTGTGTGTGTGTGTATAACTGAATCACTTTACTGTACAGCTGAAACACTATAAATCAACTATATTTCAATTTAAATAATTGAATAATTAAAAAATTCAGTCTCATAAATTTAATTCTCTTCTATGAAGATGGTCAGTTATATCTAAAGGGAAGCAATATATTTACTTTTGACCCTAAGATTGTGGAAGAAAATACTTGGAACCAACTGGGATTAGAATATGTGAGATTAAAAAGGCTTTAATTGTAATTAGCACTTTATTTTTTTATAATAGATATATTCTTGCCATACAGACTCAGCTAATTATTCCTTCAGAAAAGAAGCTACATGTATACCCTATGCTCTTTTTATTGCCCCCTAAATCTGATGCCATTGCTACTAAAACTTTAAGGGAAAAGCAGCATTTCAGTTTACTTTGGTTCCCAACACAGTCATCGTTAAACAGCAGGAAATTTCATTTTTCCTAAGCATGTGCAGATTGTTGTTGCAAAAAAAGTAACCCTGTCTTTTCCTAGCTCTAAATGTTTAGGGAAACCTGCCAGTATATCCACTCCCTCCTTTTTTTCACAAGAATTTTCTACTTCAATGAGAATATTTAGAAAAAGTACAAAGAGCTAGATGTTTCCACATGAGACTTTAATAATACTGTACTTTGTATTTACATATCATATATCTTTGGTACTTCATAGCCCATTATCATTTTAAATTTACAAATCAATATATGAAAGCACAAGGTTTAGAAGCAGCTCTTCTGCTGAACAGCAAGTTATTAATGCCAGGATCAGAACTCATAATTACTGACACATGTGGTTGTGGTCCTACATCTAAAGATCATTCTCATAACATAAAATGAAGTGCTCAGTAAGTAGAACGTATCGATTATCAAATATCCCTCTTATTCAAGACAATTTTAGGAACCATGGAGCTTTAATCATACAAATAACCATATTAAACCTCACAGGCCTACATTAATATGAATGTAGGTTAAGATGTCATTCAATTAAAATTAATAGTTAATAGAGATTAATAAATGCGTGTGTGTATATTTATATATGTATATATATTCCAGTCAGTGTCACAGGGTGGAATATATTTCAGTCAGAAAGTCAGCAAATATGTCAGTACATTTAAAAATGTGAACTACTGCTTTAAAACTTTTTCACCAACATGCTGTAATTCCAAATGGTACAGATGCCACGGGTCAGATTGCTGTATATGCTATCAAGTCTCTCCTTACCGGGAATGAAAACATCCCTTGTCTGCTGGTTCAATTAGCAATTTAAGGTACCCAGTTCTCTTCGCAGTGCTCACTGCGGTTTTAGTTCCAGTGTCTTGAACACTCATACGTCTGGGAGATTCTGTAAGATCTGTCTCAAGGAAGCACAGGCTACCGTGTGGACTTCCGAAGGAAGGTTAGCAAGTGACTGAATCAGCTTCTTGACTATCACCTTCAGACACTGGTGGGCAGCATTCAAATCTCTGTCAAACTGCTGTCCTTCACTCTGTAGAGCCGGATGACTGCAGATGTTCCTAAACTCAACACTGTCCTGCAGTGAAGAGCAAACACAAACAAGCAATGAGTGAGGCTGTGGAGGACATCTGTTGTGCTTTGTGTGCCCAAGTTTCCATTCCCGTCCTTTCTGATGTCAGGATCTTGATTTTTCCCTCGGAGAACTGCTCTCCTCCATTCTCGGTCTATGTGGTTTGACCAAAGCTGACCCCACTCCACAACTCCAGGGGACCAGGCCAATCAGAGCCATCACCTCTCAGCCACTTAGATTGGCCAGGGATGGGCAGATCACGTAAAGCAGGCCGATAAGCCACATCTCAGGATATTTGCTAGACTGGCAAAGAGAAGCTCTGTTTAACTGGGGCTGTTGGAAAACATCTCACCACCGTAAGGAGAGAATCCGAATGAAAGTGAAGCCAACACAGAAAAAAAGTAGAACCCAGCGATTAAAAGGGACTGATTCTAATTACACTTTCTGAGCATGTCAATCTAGCTGTACTTGAACAATAAATCCCAGGATTTTTTAGTTCTCTGAATCAATAAACATTTCTTTTTACTTAAGCCATTTGGAATTGAATTTCTCTTATTTGTCCCTAAAAGAGCTTTGATGAATACACAAATAAACTCTGTTCCTGTTATTCCATACTCACTGTCTTCAAAATTCCGATACAAGATTTGGTATTTAATGAACATAGTCCCAAGAAATTTCCAATGCAGATTTGGAAAGAATAGTTCACAGACAGTTTTAAAGAATGAGCTAATTAAATAGATTTTTAATCTGTAGATGTGTCATATTCTAAAATCCACTGCATGTAAATAGTACACTGAAATTATTCCACATCAGAGATAATGTTGAATATATATTTTATTTTAAATACGGTTACCTCAAACAACAGAAGTTTGAATTGTACAGGTTCAATTATATGCAGATTTTTTCCAATAAATATTTACTACAGTACTGCGCTATTTGCAGTTGGTTGAATCATGGATTTGGAACTCTGGATACAGAGGGCCAACTATAAAGTTATATGCAGATTTTTGACTCCATGGTGGGGTCGGCATCCGAAATTCTCCCACCCTTCAAGATTCCAATGTACATGAAAATGACCTCCCCAGACTTTTGGTTCTAGCAACTTAGCACATGTAGTTGCCCTATAATTCCTCGCTACTAAATTCTAAATAATACAGAACAAACATCCTTTCTGAGTTTGCAAGAAAGTAACGGAAATCCCCAAGGGCCAGAAAAAAAAAAAGAAAAGTAGCTTATTTTAGCTGCCTGCCAATACCCACCAAGAAAAGAAAGTTGGTCTCTCTTGAGCTGGATTTCAGGTGGAAGGTGAAGTTGCCCTATGAATGTGCAACCGTGGACCTATAGTACACACTAGTTCAAGTTTGTGGTTGTCCTCTATACCATATATATGTTTTTGGAACACGCTTGCAAAGAAGTTAACTTAAATATTTGAACTGGCCTGAAATATCCATGGGCACATGGTAAAAGCAAACAAAAGCCTATTCCACAGTAACATGCCCACCACCCACGCCCCGCAGTAGTCGTCCCATAAAGCACCGCTACGACAGACTCTGCATATGACATTTAAAGTGGGAGCCACCATGATATAGTAGATGCAATGCAGGGCAGGATTAAACGCCGAGGATTTCAGGTATAAACTTATAAAATATATTCATAATGATTAAAGATATAAAAGAAGGAATCCGGGAAAAAAATGTTTTAAGAAAAAACAGGCTTGAAAAAGAACTCAATACCACTCCTAGAAACGACAGCTATCATGACAAATTAAAAACTCAATGGACAGTTTAAACATCTGAATAAATACACCTGAATAAATACATCTGAAATGAGGATTAGTAAACTGGATAGTAATTTTGAAAAAATTCCCAGAATGCAAAATAAAAAGTGGAAGCCATGGGAAATAATAAATGAGACATTAAGAGACATGGATGAGAGAATTAACAAAGTACAACAAATACATATCCAGGAGAGACAAGAAGGAGAATAGAGGGGAAGCAGTAGTCAAAGAGAGTAACGGATAAAATTACCCCAAGTTGATTCAGAAAGTGAATCCTTAAGATTCAGGGAGATTTGAGCAGGAAAAGCTAAGTGAGATCCAAATCTATACTCATCAAGGTAAAACTACTCTTAAAAGCAACCAGAAAGGAAAAAGACAGATAAGGTTCAGTCTGGATGACCAGACAGACAGCCAGCTTCTAAGCCACAACAATTGATGATAGAATAGAATAGAATAATATCTTCATTTAACTGTCAACCAAGATTTTTTTAATCCCCCTAAACTACCATTTAAACATCAGGGCAGCTCCCTGGTGGTCTAGTGGCTAGGATTCGGCGCTTTCACCATTTAAACACCAGGGCAAAGTAAATATACCACAAGAAGAAATTACCACAAACAGACCCTCACTGTCAGATCTTCTTAAAGATATCATTCAGAAAGAGAAAATTCAACTCAGAAAGAAAGAGATGTAAGAAGTTACAGTAAGGAAAGAAACGTAAAAACATGGAGTAAATCTAAAGATTTGATTATTCAAAACAAAAATTATAGCTAACGTGGGGTTTACGAAAGCAAGATGGTTCCGAAGTGCTGGGGAGCAGTACCCTGTGGGATGCAGTGGCATCTGAGGCACTGTCTCATTCAGGACAAAGGTGGCAAAACTGACAAAGTTTCAGGCTTGTTAAGTATTCACAAGTGAGAAAGTTCGCAAGTGAGAAATGTAATGATCATCATTAAAAACAGAGAAATAATACATAAAACTTCAAAATCAGCAGAGGGAAATGTTTATCAAAACTTTTTTGATCCTACTGATAGAAGGTAAAAACAGAGAAATAAAGATTCAAACACAAAGCAAGGTGAATATAGAAAGCACCAAATCAGACACCTTTTGAAATACAGTGGTTATCAGGTTGGATTTTCAAAATCTATCTATATGCATGCTGCTTACAAGCAACACATTATAAACTAAAAACACCCAAAGATTGAAAGTAAACAGATATTCAGATATATCCCAAGCAAAGAGAAGCCAAAATAAACCCCCCAAAAATCATTATTAGGGACAAAATAAACTGCAATTAATAACAGGCACTATTGCACAAGAAAATCTAACAGTTTTGTACTTGTGTGTGTCTAACATGGTAACCTCAATTTATATTCAATCCACAGACATAAAGACTGATTTTAACCCATCTTTTTCAGAAACTGTTCAAACAACAGGACGATCAGCCTAGAGATAAAAGATAAAAATCTTTTCTAATCACAAGCTTGGTCTAATGGAGATAAGCAAATATACATTATTCTCAAACATCTATGGATTACTTACGAAAGATAACTTTTATTTTAATGCCACAAAGCAAATCTCAACTAACATCAAAAAGTCTATATCACACAAATCAATGAAAATAAATGAAAAATCAGTAATACAGATAACCTTGCCAAAACATGTATGATTTAAAAATCTACTTTGAAATAATTCATGGGTCAGTGAAAAACTAACTGAAATTTTAAAATGCTCTATACTGAACAGTTACGGAAATACTATATCACAATTTGTGAGACATAGTTACCTAAATGCTTGTATAAGTAAAGAATAATCACTGAAAATCCATGAGCTAAGAACTGAACTCAGTAAACTAGGAAAAGAAGAACAGATAATGCAAAAGAAAACAAAAAGAAAAATAAGAGTTGAACCCAAGTTTGACGAGGAACTAGTTTTTCTAATTCTGTATAGAAAGAGAAGCTATTCTTCTCCCTAATAAAAACTCTGTCATTTGGGTGAGATGGACCTGGTGAGATGGAAAAGTGTTTATTTATTACAAAAACATCCTCCAAGAAACAAAACAAACATCCATTTGTTCAATTCAGCAAACAACGGCGGGACCCAGTGTGGCAGGCATGCTATAGTCCCCTTACTCGAATATTCACGTTATTCTTGGTTTTTTCCCTCTTTAAAGCATTCTTGCTTCCCTGCTTTTGTGTATTGTTCGTTTCTGCTCAGAGGGTATCAAGAGGCTACTTAAATAATCTATCCCACGGTTTATGGGGTAACCTATATTGCTGGAGCATGTTGCTTGGGAATGAGAAAGTAAGGGAAAAAATGGCTCTGGACTACTTTCCCAAGATCCACATCAAGGGAAGTTGTCTGCTTGCTTTATAGAAGTAATCCAACTCTTAAGTACAAAGTGGAAGGATCAAAGGCAACATGCAAAAGAAAATTTAAAATAGAAGGAACCACTGAAATGTGTGCTGACGTGTGCCTATTAGCCGGTCTGCAAAGGCATTCATCACCCAAAGAAGATTAAAATGCCTTTAAAAATATATTTGTGGGCCTAAATTCTGAAGGTAATTTCACATTTGCTGTAAAGAATCAAAGAAGACATCTTCTGGGGAAGTTATACATACAATAAAATTCCACTGCCGGATTGTACTGGTCCCTGAGGCCCTGGGTAAACTTCAGATCTCTGGCGAGCTTTGCAAAGTCTCTTTATTTTACTATTTTAGTACAGTATTTCCATTTAATCCTTTCTCAAATATATTAACAGTCAAAGAAAACAAATTAACAGGAATAGGCTTTCCATGGGACTCTTAAGCCAAGGAAGGGAAAAATAAAACAGGTGGTTGCTTCTCTTCCTTTCTGGAACGTCTGAAAGCCAACTATGGATCCAAAAATCAAGGTCTTCAACCCAGCCTCTACTGATTCTGCTGCAGAAGGTAGGGGCCACCAGTGACAGCCTTAAGGCGACAGCATGTTAAATGGCTCATGGGCTTTCAGTAGAAACTCACATGATCAATATTGGTGATGATTTCACTTACGGTGCTTTCCATTCAATAACAGGGTGTATTCTCCCAGCAGCTTTTATTTAGCAAGTCCCGGATACTTCCAGAAATGATGTAATATCCTACATGGTGCTTTGAGCCCTTTGCCAGAATTAGAACATGATGGTGGCTGAGCAATCTAAAAGCAGGTTTTGAGACTTTTAAAGCCTTGAGTAACCTCAGACTTTGGATATGA